TATATATATTGTATTCATCTTCATATATGTGATAATAAGTAGTATGTGGATGACCGGACAAAATTTCCCTGGGAGCACACGACCGGTTTCGCAGACAAACTACATTTGACTATGGGCGCGAAGATGCAAAATTCGGGTTTTTTTAGAATTCATTATAATTATTCTATTTCGAGCCAGACAGATAGACAGACAGGCAGACAGATTCACCGTCGGCTGGTTTCATATCACACCTATTCTACCAGGGCTCTGCCTGTTTCATTGACCCAAGCATAATAGTACGGGTTACCGTGGCCGAAACATTGAACCAGTCGTTCTGTTGCTTCCGCTGTTTGTCACACCACGGTAAAAAAAGAATGAAAAACGGTAGTTCGGGTTCAAACACGTGACAATTCAGTTAAGTTGTTGATTTCTCTTGCTTTTTTGTAGAGCAGCAAATAACAACGACAACAATAAGAAACTCAATCAGTTGATGTCACTGAGTGTTGCTTTGTGTTGATGTGGAGGGATAACAACCGCCTCTGAACACCTTCATGTGGCCCCCGTACGAAATGTTCCCCAAGGGCCTGTGATTATAACCGCCTTTTGGAAAGTTCGAATCGCTAGCTTATCATGACTGGAAGGTTTTCATTGAAGTGGTGGGATAGAAAAAAAAAACAATCTCCTGCATAAAAAACAAGTGCTGTCTAAAGTTCGTCCTGGGGAGGGGGTGGCCAAATCTAATTCCAAACCACTCATGAGGGGGAGTGTGAAATGGCACTTCGAGTACCGGATATACGGCGGCCGATCCTTTTGAACAATTTGGTTTGTTGCACGTGGGAACCCGGATACTGAAGGGCGAAAGGTTTGAAGGACGAAATCGCGGCTCCGAATAGACTGTGTAATCAAAGCACCGTCCCATTGTCCTATGGATTAGACTACTCATTCGAAAGCCGCGGTGAGATCCTACAAGTTAACATCCAGCCATTCTCTACCAGAATGTGTATTGCAGTAATTCACATCATCGACAGAAACGTAATGAACATTTCCTTCAACAGCGCGCTTATAACTGCTTCCTTCACTTCGAACAATTTTGGCACACTGCGCAGTGCCGACTCATTAATAGATAACAAAAATAACTGACCGTAGTGATAGGATTTAATTTTTCCAACTAATCTGAACAATTTACGACTTATTTTTCTCTTCCCCTCCTAAAGTTTCCCTTGTTCAATAAAGAACTAAAGTTCTTCGAACCATGACATTTTAACTTGACATAGAAGTATTTAAAGAACGAACAGTATTCACAGGACAGGTGAAATATCAAATAATCATTTGAGAAGAGAAAGGGATTGCGTCCATCAATATCGCTGTTTGTTATCAATAATTGATCTGGCTGATCAGAAGAGGTGATTTCACGACCGTCTGGAACTCTCCGAATGGTTCCCTTGTCATCATCGTTGTCGTTTTCGTTCGGGTACTCAGCAGCTCAATTAGTCAGAGTTATTCACACCACCGGAATCGATTTTGTCAGAACAGCTCTCGAAACCGTATACGTTCTCTCTGAACAAATGCTAATCATTCGGATTTTGCTCTTGTTCCCTGTGTTGACTTCTTGGTCGGCATTCATTGATCTTCACAGTTGTGATCTCGACCAGTTCAACTCGGCGTTCATCGACGGCGTAATAGCCAATACGTTGTTAGAATGATTAGGACGCATGTTGTCCCGGAAATTGTCCCAATTAACCGATTCTGATGGGATCGGGAAGAATAGAGGAATAGAGGAAAGAACTAGGTCCGATGACGTACAAAATCCTTGCGTTAATGGTTTCAGTTAGGTCACAAAAATTTTTCAGTCAGAATTATGAACTGAATCGGTTTATATCAATAATCTATCTGTCTATCAATGACAATAATTGCTCACGGTTGCAATACCCCATCGTGTTCCCGGGGAATCACATATCCGTCACGTGATTTCGTGAACAGAATCAATTTCTCCCCCGAAGATCGGAATTCGATGTTTACATCTACCGTGTACTTTCGAATATCCTAAAATGTTTCGGAGAATAAGCTGTCTGTTTGATCTCATATGTTCTCGGTTAGATTTCAATGGTTGCACCGAAACAAACAAGTGTTCCATTTGTTGCTTCCACTTCACTCACGGGAGTGCCAATCTATTTTTTTTAACCGTATTGATGATACAAAATAAGTTGTATTCAACTAATTATAATGCATAATCGTCTGCTTCGCGGCATCTATCAGACTGACGCAATGAATTATTGATTCCATTCGTTGATGGAGTGTTGACTAAGTAGTGTTCGACGGGTGTTCGTATGATAGCACATCTAAGAGGGGGGGGCTAGTCTAAGGGGCCATAGTCTGAGCATGGATTAAGTCAGTTCACGATGTGAGAAGTAATCATCAGTTTTGGTGAGGGGCTATGGCCGTTCGGAAACTTACCGAATGCACAGGGGCAGTACCATCCTCCGCCTCCAACGCGTGTTCGTTATATCCCATTTCCGGACAATTCGGACTGGACAATTGACCTCGATACAGGTGCAATTCCTTGTTCATCTGATCGCCAATTTCGGCCAGTTGTAAAGCGATTAGTTCGCACAAACTGCTACATGAAAAGGGGGGAAGGGACAATCCATCGAGTATTTCCTTTACAAAACCGGATAAAAAATGTTGGGTACGATGTAAAAATTACTCAGTAAACCAACCGATCGATGATTGGAGTATTTGCTTCTGACAACTCCATGAACGCCGATAAGCATCGTGTGGTTCATTATTTGAAGACCAAGGACAGCAGACCTTCGTTTGAACGGGGCATACCAAATCTAGAAGATAATGGATCCTAACCCATGTTTAATTAAGACATCAAAAGCAGTTGAGTTTGTTCATTTTGTTTTATTCAAGCACAATAAATACGTTTAACCGACACAATTAATGTTACACCCAATAATAATAATAATAATAATAATAATAATAATAATAATAACCGTCTCCATGCCAGCAGTAGACTTTTATTTTCAAATGTCTAAAACAGCACTGCTTCCATACTTGCTTTGTCCCTCAGACTAATTGACTACTTAGGAAAACGCACTAACAACTTCAACTATCACTACCATCTGAAACACTTTCAATTTGAGAACACCAAGCTAAGATGCGAACCAAATTCATGAGAAACACTCACGACTTACTTCGACATAATTAGAACCCTTCCGAGGTTGAACACTGAAAATGATAAGGAAATGCGCTCACACCTTGTTTGTTCCATCCCATTTTATTAACATTACATGACCTTGAGGACTCTGGTGCGTCCGTGGTGCGCCAGGCCTGGACAGACGTGAGGACGAACGGTCCAATCACGTGCCGATCGCGCTTGATGCGCTTGAACGGGAGTGTGCGGTGTGAAACCGACAAGTTATACACCTGGAGGGGGACGCAACGCG